TTTTTTTATGGAAAATCCCAAGTAAAATTTAAGGAACTAAAGCCTAAATTAGTTGGCTACTTGACTTACATGGTTTTTGTACTATATGAATTCGAAATTCAATTACAAGCTATCAACTGACCATTTCAACTAGATTTACCAATCAATCTAGTCACTGTACAATATAAATCCGAAATTCACTTATAAACTATCAACTGATTTCAGCTCGATTAACCAAAGTCCGAACCTACATATTCTTACCGCCCAACTATCGTGGAATTACGTAAAGTGAGTATAGTTAGTACGATATATATATATATATAACAAAAAACGAAGTATAATTTATTACCTTCTGCCGGAAAGTGACGATAGGGTTTCCGGCAGCATCGAGCAAGGTTCGCTTTTCGTGGAGGCTGAGCAGCTTGCCTTTGACTTTGAACATTAGGTTGCCGTTGACATCCGTCACGCCGAAATTCCCCTCCGACAACGTCAACATCTTGCGCACGACGGTCAAGTCAACCGGGTAACCCACGCAAAATTGTGGGCTGATGATCGCCGTTGGCGGCGGGCCGTGGCTCTGCGCCGCCGGCGGATAGCTTGTGCCGGGCATCATCATATTCGCGTTTTAATTTTGTTTCAATAGATTATCTTGTGGGTGCTCTTTCAAGCGTTTTTTTTCTTTTTTCGGTGGAGCATGATATTTTTGTGGGATTTATATAGAAATAGTTGTTAATTTGTTAGTTGATTGGTTCAAAAATTGTGGATGAAAGGGAGTGGGAAATTTCATGTGACGCGTTGACTGACTTTTATTTATATATATGTTTTGTTTTGTTTATAGTTTATTAATTTATTAATACGTGTTTCACATATTCTTTTATCTAGTGTGAACCTTGATGTAGGAACGCCTATATTATTAATTCTAAAATTATCTTCCCTCCGTATATTTTTGTGTTAAATGGTTATTCAGACTAGTAATGCTCCGGTCGCCCCTTTAAGAAACCATCTCCTCGGGTGTTTTAAACGTATGATACACATGTAGTTAGTATAAGATAGATTGTCCCACAATTAAAACACTCGACAGGATAGTACCGTAACGAGACAATAGCATTTTCTCCGTAATATTGATCATGATTTTAAATCATAATTATAAAATACTTTTGATCTTTAAATTTTGGAATAAACATGCCGAGTAGTCAACATGGTGAATTTGTTCGCCGGCATGGAACCGTGTGGATAGAGCAGAGCATCTTTGAAAAAGTCGCTCTTGCTTGAAAAAATCTCTAACCCTTTTTGTTTGATGCATATATATTTCCTGTGTTTTTACTAATCCCTCTCTATATATTAATTCAAAACGTGTTGAGTCTAGGTGGCAGATTTTCACGCTTCGGATGATGACATGGCAAAAATCTATACTTCGTGATGTTGTTTTTATATTATTTTTGCTCTGGAGTTAGATTTGGTATTAATCATAAATAACTTTACACATATATTCATTAACTCAACACCCATGTTAGTACATGGGTATTAGTACTATTTGCAATTGCTATTTTTAGGAGCTTTTGGATAAATTTTCTAGCCGAATGCAACAATGAAGTTGACAATTGACAGATAATCGAACCGAACTTGGAAGTTGTGACTTGTGAGATATCACTAAATGTTAGTAAAATTAATATTCAAACTAAATTGTTGGCCAATACAATTCGATTCGACTATTGAAAGCTCGAGTTCAACTCGTTTGTTTACTTGAAAGAATCGCGCTCGTACAACTTATCGATTTTTTTTATTAGCTGAGTCGATGTGGATTCCAAATAATTACTAGTTTTTTTTGTTCATATATAATTCTTTAATTTAAATGAAACAGTCGAACCGAACATGTTCGTGAATGAACATATCGAGTTCGCAAACAACTTGTTTAGGTATTTAAATTATTAAACAAATTGAGTCGAGTCGAACTTCCATGATCTTCAACGAGCGAAGCTCGAACAGAGTATTTTGTTCGTTTGTTAAACAAGCACAAGCTCAAACATGAGCTACTCGATAAATACTCATATTAGCTACGTAGCTATATTGCAGGCCCAACCTAGAATATCCACATAAGTTCTTCCACGCCTTATTTTCCCGCAGGCCCAAATAAGCCCAAACTTTGGCTGTTCTTGATTCATCACTGTCGAATCTTCGGGCAAAATGTTTAGATTAGCAGCTCACTGTAAGCTCATATCAGCAGAAAAAGCTCATCCATGGCGGAAACAAATTACTGCAAATAACCCCATTATTTACCGTTTCTTAATGACCTCAGCTGCTCTATTCTCATCGTCGTCCCCAAAAAAATCCTCATCCCTGCAAAATCACTACATACGAAAGCGAAGAAAATGGCCGATCAAACCATTCGAAACGCAGCGGGACGAAGCTTTCGCTTTGCGTCTTGCCAAACTGTCCTTCAAACAATCAATAAGAAGAAACAAATTCCACCTCCTTTCCGATCTCATCAGCTCGTTTTCTGCTTACGAGATAAACCCTAACCCCCAATCCTACCATCTCCTCTTCAAAATCTTGATTCAAAAGCGACCCCCAAATTGGACCGACCAGATTTCACGAATCCTCGACCACATTGAGAAAGTTGAGAGCTTTGAGACGCCCGAGTCGATTTTCACCGATTTGATCAAATTCTATGGCGATGTACGTAGGTTCGATGATGCCGTTGAGCTCTTTTCGAGGATTCCCAGGTTAAGATGTAATCCGTCGGTTGAACTTTTGAATGCTTTGCTTACAGTCCTTTGCAGGGATGAAAAGGGCCTTGAAGTGGTTCCACAGGTTTTAGTTACAAGTTCAGAAGTAATGAAAATTAGGATTGAAGAGTCGACCTTTGGGGTTTTAATCAAAGCCCTCTGCAAAATTGGGAATTCGAATAATGCTTACGATTTGCTAAATCATATGGTGGCCGAAGGTTTTGGCGTGGATCGAAAAATCTATTCTTTGATGCTTGCCACAATGTGCAGGCAGATAAACTGCAATGGCAATGGCAATGGCAATGATATTATGCGATTTGTGGATGATCTGAAGAAATTAGGGTTTGAACCGAAAAGGGATGATTTTCGCAATGTGATTAGTTTCTTGGTGAGGAAGGGGAAATGTAAGGATGCTTTGGGCTTGTTCAAACAAATGAAATCGAATGGGATCAGGCCTGATATCCGGTGTTACAATTTGCTGCTTGACGGGTTGATTCTTGATCGTGATTTTTCGCGAGCAGATAAACTGTTTGATGAATTGCTCGTGTTTGGCTTGAATCCAGATTTCCACACTTACAATGTCTACATTAGTGGTCTGATAGTGCAAAACAAAATTGATGATGGAATTAGAATTTTTAACTCAATGGAGGAATTGGGATGTAAGCCAGCCCCGAGCACATATTTCTCGATTTTAAGAGCACTGTGTGAAGTTGGGGAGATGGGTCGAGCAATAGGTTTCGTGAATGAAATGCGTGGAAAATGCATGCAGATAAATGCGGATATGTACGAGATTCTGATCGATGGTTTTGTAAGTAATGGCGATGTGAATGGAGCTTTAAGCTTTTTAAGGAAAATGTTTCGTGAGAAATTTTTCGTTCCTAGACGAACGGCTTTGGGTAAAATCGTGAATTGGTTGTGTGAGATTGGTATGTGTTCTAAAGCAATGGAACTGCTTGGAGAAGAGGTTGTAAAGGGTATATTAGAAACAAAAACCCATGTTTTTTAGAATGTGATTTGATTTCTAGTCTTATAAGGTTTGGTTTTGGACAGAATATTGTGTTCTTGAGGTTTCATTCTATCACAAAAATTCAGGGAAAGAAAAAAAAGATAACATTGTGTTTTGAAATTGAATTTTCCCTGGATATTTGTATAATTGTATCCATTATACAAATCAATACATCATTGAGTGGTATTGGCTGTGTTTAGTAAGCATATAAGTTAACTTATATATCTTATTTGATTAGCTTGTAATCTTCCCGTCTTCAAATATAAACTTGGTTTGGGGTTTGGTAGAACGTGTTTTTTTCAAAACGTTCGAGTCTATCAACTAATTTTATCAAACACTTTTATCATATAAGATAGTTTTTCAGGTAGAAGTTAGAAACTCGAAAATCACTTGTAAGTTATAAGTTAGTTCATCAGCTAGATTAATCAAACATAACATTGTCATATTATTGCAAAATTTGCAAATCTCTTCCTAATTACCATACAACGAAATTCACCCCTATTTACCTGGTTTTAGCCTTTTTAAATTTGGAAATCTCTTCCTTGTTACTGTACACTTAATAAATTCACCCCTAATTACCTAGTTTTAGCCTTTTTAGGTGTGTTCATTATAGAAAAATTCAATCCATAATCAATTCATTCTCAAAATCTAACTCAACTTCAATTTAACCGCACTATCATAAATATTATCAATATAATTAAATAATATCAACTAATCATTCATACATATCACATCAGCTTTAATTTATTTTCCACTACTCATACATAATTTTTTTTTCTTTTAAAAAGGGGGATCAATACTTGTTCCCCAATTCCCTCCGGGTGACTCGAACTCGGGACATGGTACACGCCGAGCGAAGGTACGCGCCACTACGCTCACCTCTCTTCGTCTTACTCATACATAATTTTAACTAACCATCATTTCACATCATTTATTTTCTACTTTTACACCAAATCAAGTTTTATTATTTTATTTTAAATATTATTATAATATAAAATATAAATTCCACTAAAATCTAACAATATTTTTTTTTTTTTTTTTCAATATTAACTTTGATTATGAAAAAAAAAAACTCATTTTGAGCAGATTATTATTTTTATACAAACACGCCCTAAGGTCCTACAACGAGTCAATGACCAAATTTATAAGCAAAATGAAAGCAAGTAGGATACGTAACTAAACTTGGTAGATTTTGTCGCCAGACAAGATTACTTGAAAAAAAAAACTTGAGCATTACTTGAAATATTTGCTGTCATAATCTGTTCAACCAAATGAGGCTAGGACTATAATAAGTAGGATTGGACTTATTAGACAAGCATAACAATCAATGGGAGTTGAAAATCAGTCACTTCATAGTGGAATTTTCAAGCTGCAAAATTTGGAATTCTGAGGATGGAAAAGAATAAATTTACAAAATTATGGGCTCGAGTTCGACTCGAGTTCGTGCTCGAGCCGCTCGAGCTCGACTCGAGTTCGGTCAAACTCGAGCTCAAGTCGAGCTTTAACTCGAGCACTCGCGAGCCGCTCGGCTCGTTTGCAGCCTAGTAAAGGGAAAACAATGATATTGAAGGATATATAGAATTTGTATGGTAAAGGAATTTTCAACTTTATTATCTTGTTTCAACTAAAATAACATCTAAGTTAATTTTTGTTGGCCTATATATAGTAGCTACTTAATAGGGAATATGATCTGGATTTAGTTATAATGTTTACAGATTTGCTATGGACCCATCGGATGGCTCGACTTATTGAGTCATCCACAGTTATTCACCAATAGTGTATTGGCACATGTCCTACAATAAATACAATTTCGACAAGTGTCAATACATTAACTGGTGGATGACTCCATAAAACACAATCGGATGGCTTCATAGAATTTTTCATAATGTTTAACCATTGATTTAAATATTTTTGCACTTAAATATCCCATTTTTTAAAATGGGTAAATAAAAGTATAACATCTAATAATACAAATAATATGATAATAGCTAATGACTACATAACAATTAACAGCCTAACTGTTAACAGAAGAATTTGTGTTATAATTTTCATACCCAACTCTATGAAGAAAAAAAATATTTTTTTTCAAGAAACTAATTGAAAATATAATTCAGAATGTCTAATTTAAGCATGTCATTAAATATTTAAATGTACCATTTCATTTATTTATTTCTAGTCTCATCTATAAGTGGGGTGTGATATTGCAAAGCACTTGTCCAATTCTGGACCCATTATCTGCTGGTAATGACAAATGAGGATTACTTATTTTAATTCATCCACATCATTATTATTATTATTATTATTATTATTATTGTTATTATTATTATTATTATTATTTCTGCCCTTATGCCTTGAATTTAACAAATAGCACCAAATGTGTTGAACAAGCTCATGTTCTGATTAAACTCATCTTATGTTACAACATATAATTTAGAGGACATCTTCTGGTAATTACAGAAAAATCAATCTACAAAATTTCAAGAAAAATCTTACTTCCATGAACTTATTTTTTTTTT